GAGAGAGAGAGAGAGAGCAAATAATGACAAAGGGTACTTGATCTGTTTTATTATATTGTAGATATCTCCGAGTGTTCAGATTATGAGGCATAATGCATGGGTATTTGTACACACTTATTTATTTTTAATTATCTGAGGACCACATTCTGCCAGTTTAGTTTGAAAATCCAAACGACCAAGTGGCGATAAAGCAGGAATTGGCCCCATGCTCTTTGTCTCTCTCTCTCTCTCTCATGAAAAGAAGTTTTACTCCCATCATTGGGAGTGGGAGAAGACTCTGATCCTTGTCTTGAGAAGGGAGTTTATTTCCTCGAGTGCCCAACCTTGAATGTCTTAAACCATTATTCTCTCTCTAAGACATTAGTTTTATACATCTTCATGCCAATATTCTCTCTCTATCTCTCAAACCCATGAGTTCTACAAATCTCCATGCCAAAACTCTCTCTCTCTCTCTCTCTCTCTCCCAGTGTAAACCAAACCATTTCTCCAAACCATTAAAAACTTGGTTGTAAACCACACCTACATAGGAATTTGTGTTACTATATTGTACTTATAGGGAGAAGATTGATGGCACAAAGGATTTAGTGGAGAGAGAGAGAAGACAAGGTATCTATCTAGTTGGAAGCCCGAGGCACGTTGTCAGTTAGTGATGAGGGAGAAAGAAAGTTGGAGTTTTTTAGGAGGCAAATGGCGAGATGGGGGAGTGGCTTTCTAAAAGCTGCGGTAGGGTGGGTTAGTAGCCTTGGGTAGGGTGCTTCCTTGCTTACTCCCTGCCCCGCTCTTTTGGCAGGAATCACGAGGCTGCTAGACCTCATACTCGACACCCCCACCTCCATCTTCCTCTTTTCCCCTTTTACTTTTCCCTTTCTTCCTTCTTGCTTAAATTGTTCTAAGAAAATATATTTAATTTTGGAGACAACCTCCTAGAATTCAATGACACTTCTTAATTCTCCTTGCTTAAAATTGTTCTAGGAAATATTGTTGTCTTTGGAGACAGCCTCCTAGAATTCAATGACAGCTCTCTCTCTTTTTTCCTTGCACATTTATAGTATCCCTTCAAATGACACTTTAAAATGGCTCTTGAAACTTATCACATTACACTTTCAAAATTTCTCTTAAATCTTTTCGGGCTCCATTATTGTCAATTTATAAATAGTAAGTGGCTTGCCAATTTTCAGATATATTGATAAATTCCCCTTAAATTTCGTATTGAGAGAGAGAGAGAGAGAGAGACAGACCACCTTAAAAGTTTGATGATATACAGACCAGGGAGTGACACTGAATGCTCTCGGGCAGGGGCAGCTTTTCCCTGCCCGTTGACATTTTCATCCCTTTTCCTTTTCCCTCTCCTTACATTTCTTTTTCTTTGATTTCTTTCTCCTTTATTTAAAGTAAACACTAAAAATTGTTTACAGGCCTGGACCACGCCCTACCATTGACTTGTTCCCCTTTGGCCGTTGGCTCACGCTCGCGCCGGCGTCCTACCCCCCCCCCTCCCCCCTCCCTCTCTCTCTCTCTCTCTCTCTCTAGGGGTGGCAATGGATCCAACTTAGGACCCGCCAGGTATATCTGACATGAACCAAGTAGGGCTCTAATATTTGGACCTGGCGAGTCGATCTGGGCCCAAAACTTGGACCCAAACGCTATACGGGTCCAAGTCCGGGTCCAATTGGACCCAATCCGTACTTGACTTATACCGGTAAACTGATAGAGATAAAGTACTTTATTTTAAGCCCTATTCATTTGAGTGTATTAAGGACTGTATATAATTAGAATTAGTAGTCATCTCTAGCTATTAAACGACAAATCACAATGCTTGAAATCTAATAGCGGGTGATTGTGACCTTGTTGCCAATAATACATGTATATGATGGTAAAAAAAAGGCCCAAAAAAGAAGAAGTTCATAGTGAGAGTGACAATGGACTCGAGACCCAATGGGGTAGACCTGAGATCTAATGGGCATGGGTATGGGTCCAAGTTTTAGACCCGACTAGTTGCGTCTAGGTCCACAACCTACACCCAAATCTATTCGGGTCTGGGTTTGGATCTGGATCTAGCCGGACCCGACCCATACCTGATCCATTGCCACGCCTATCTCTCTCTCTCTCAATTAACCAAGTTGTTCCCTCCTTAAAATACTCCCAACCAGAGTTCAACTACTTTCGCTCGAGTAACTCCGGCTCGCTACCTTTGTGAGCCCAAGTATCCCAAGTTTGGCAGTTAAGCTCGGGATCGTATAAAAAAAATTTTGAAAAAATATTAAAAATCTAAAAATTAAAAAATTTTCTTTGTAATATGTCAAAGATTTGGTAATTATTTCGGCATTCTTTTTGGATTATTTCTAAAATACCCCCAGTCACAAATTTATTTTTTCAAAATCTATTTTCAGTACTTTTTTAATTTCATTTAGATATGTTTCATTTAATTTTACTTAAAATATATTTTCATATTTTTTGACATTTTTTTGTACTTTTTAACACTTTTTGACCTAGCAAGGACCTGCCAAACCCGCGCCAAGTTAGTCAGACTCAGCCCGGCCAGGCCCACAGCCGGGTTCCGAGGCTGAGTCGTGGTTTCCTACATTGATCATTAGGGAAGCTTTACGACGCCAATTTTTATGATGATGTATGGAATCGCTCGATGGGTTTTTAGAAGGTCGAACCAGTCACACACTGGTTCTATGTTAAACTGGTTGGTGACTCGGCTCAGCCATATTAAAGAAAAAAAGAGAATTTTAAAAATATAAAAAATTTAGAATGTTTATTCAAGGCTTATTAGTAAACTTCATATCCTCTTAAAAACTAGTTTTTTTTTTTGATATTATTTATGTGGTAAAGTATATAATGAGGCTATTTATCTTTGTTTGGTATAAGGTGGTCACAATCGATCTTGACTATTGGATGTGAAATTAAATGGTTGCATTTATTCTATTGACCAAGCTCAAATTTCAAAAGAAACAAGTTATCAAATTTCACATTGAATAGTTGTGAGTAATGAAAAACTTTCTATGTTCCCCCCTACAACATAGAAGTTCTATATTCCTTTTATCCAACCGTCCATTTTTTAATGGAGGGGGTAAGATTGTCCCAATCACAATGTCACGTCTCTACACTGTTTTATTTTTAATATTTTTTTCTATAGACTGTTTTGACACCAAATTTTGGATGTCCAGTCCTATATTAAACTCATACTAACGAAAAATATAAAAAAAATATTTTCAATAAAATAAAATGACCAAATTATCCTCGAAAGTGTCAAGGGGTATTTTGGTCATTATTTTTTATATCAAAATTATTGTTAATATTTTGTATAGGTACACTCCAATGAGAAGATAGCACGTGCCAAATTTCATATTAAAAAAAAAATTGTATTAAAAAAACTAAAAATAAAATGCTAAGATCAAACGGTGAGTGGCTCTTTTGATAAAAAATAGACGGTTGGATGGTAAGAAGAACAAAGAACTTCTACGTTGTAGGGGGAACATAGAAAGCTTTCCCGTAAGTAATTGCGACAATTTATACAATCTTCATATACCCGTAAGTCCGAATCCCGAAATAAGGAGACACACTGACAAGTTGTTCAACTTGAGCGATTTTTGAAACCCTGGCAGTAATTTCACTTTTCCAATTTCATGATAACGGATTAAAGGGGTCAAGTAAAACGTACTTTGATTAATGAACAAAGATAAGGGTGATTGATATTTGATTAACGAACAAAGGTAAGGGTGATTGATATGAAAGAGTGGGAAAAGGTCCACGATTTTCAACGTTAGACATAAACTCCTTACTTTGTGTCAAGTCTCCTAAAGCACTCCATACACCAATATCTTTAGGGGCCTACATTGCTTAAAAAAGATCCTCACATGAAAGAAATAAAGGCTCATTATCCTCGGGAAAGAAAACGTGTATTTTGTGGGAACTTTGAAAACCTTGGTTTTTATCATTATCGTGGTTAATCTCTCTCTATCAATGTGAACCCTAGGCGTGTGACCTTCACTCAATTCTTGCACATTCATTCTCTCTCTCTCTCTCTCTCTCCAAGCTCATAATTGCATCCAAGGACGTATATATTTTGCATGTGTGTGAGAGAGTAAATCCATAGAAATCAAGTTCAAACCAAACTGGTGGTTCGACCGATCAAACTATCGATTAATACCTTGATCGGTTTGGTTCAAGATAAACATTGGATCCGGTAAAAACAACTATTCAACACTAGTTTCTAACTAGTTTTGGCTGGCTTGATTTTGTCAGATCCAGCAACTTTGACCGGCTGAACAAAGTTGGATTGAACATTTTTCCTAATATTTTACATGGGAAAGTATAGAATAAGATTAT